TCATTGTGTTGATCTAAAACTGGATTCCTGTTATTTAGAAATGCGGGGAAGTGACTATTAAAGGCAACTAGAAATCTCTGTTTCCTAACTAGATTTCTGAAGCTTCTACATACTTGGTACTAAATCCAAATGAGATATTACAAAAAAGAAAAACTATAGGCCAATCAAGTTCATAAGCAAAGTTGTAAAAATTCTTAAGGAAAATCCAGCATGAGTTTACCCAAATATAGTTTATCTTAGGACTATAAGGGTGACTTACATCGTTTAACTTATTAATCTAACTGACTACATTAATAAATTAAAAAAGAAACATGCATTGGGCATGGTGCTGCATGTTTGTAATCCCAGTACTCTGGGAAGCTGAAGCTGGAGGGTGGCAAATTTGAGCCCAGCCTGGGCAATTTAACAAGAACCTGTCTCCAAACAAAAAATAAAAAGGTCCAGGGATGTAGCTCAGTGTGAAAGAAACATTTGGTTGTTTCCATTACTAGTACTACAAAAAAGAAAAAAGAAACATGCTGTACTAGATAGTAAAACATATTTTAAGCCAGGCATGGTGGCGCATGCCTGTAATTCCAGCAGTTGGGAGACTGAGGCAGGAGGATTGCAGCAAGTTTGAGGCCAGTTTGGGCTACATGAGTTCAAGGCCAGCCTGCACTACATAGTGTGACCCTGCCTTAAAAAAAAAAAAAAAATTAAAGCTTTAGTAATTATAATATAGGAATGAACAGACCAACCACTGAAATAGCCCAGTAATAGTTCTGCTTATACATGAAAGCTAGTAAATTATAGCATTGTCATTGCAAAGCACTAGGGAAGGGACAGATTAATGAATGATGCTAGCAAAATTTGTTGTTTAGTTGGAAAAATAGAAGTAAGTTGAGCTGAGGATATAACTCATTATAAAGTCCAGTGTTAGTAAGGTCCTGGGTTTTTGTTTTTTTTTTTAATACCAGGGAATCGAACTCAGGACCTCACACTTGCTAGGCAGATGCTGTGCCACTGAGCTATATCCCCGGTTCTTACTTTTGTGTTTTTTTGAGATAGGGTTATGTAATTCAACCTGGCCTTGAACTCACTATGTAGCCCAGGCTGGCCTCAAACTAGCAGCAATTCCCCTGCCTCCACCTCCCAAGTGCTAGGATTACAAGCGTGCATGCACCACACCCACTAAGTCCTGGGCTCAACACCACAAGTAATAATAATAAATAGGACTCTAGCATTCCGCCATATGCAAAAAAATCAGTCCCAGATGGATCAAGAATTTTGATGTAAAAGGCAAAAGTTTAACACTTTTTAAAGATAGCATATCAAAACATATCTATATTTATATATAGATATGTTAAGCAAGAAACAAGGGTTCTTAAGATTTATTTCTTATGTAGATATGTTAAGCAAGAAATAGGATTTCTTAGCCGGGCGTGGTGGCTCACGTCTGTAATCCCAGCACTTGGGAGGCTGATGCAGGAGGATCATTGCAAGTTCGAGACCAGCCTGGGTTACAAAGTGAGCTCAAGGCCAAGCTGATGTGCATAGCAAGACCCTGTCTCAAAAAGAAAAAAAAAGAAAGACGATTTATTAAGCAAGAAAACAAAAAGCATTAATCATAAACGAAAATAATGATAAATTCAACTACATTCAAATGAAGATTTCAGTTCATCAAAAGGCTATTTAAAAAGTGAAGATTACCAGGAGTGGCAGAAGACACCTGTAAGCCCAACACTGAGGCTGAAGTAAGAGGATCACAAGTTGCAGGCCAGCCTGGGCTACATAGTGAGTTCAAGGCCAACTGAACTAGAAATGTCTCCACACGTTTAGCAAAAGAAAGTACAAGTCAGAACTGGAAAGACATATTAGCACTATGAGCATACCAATCCCACTATTAGTATATCAATATATTAAAGTCTAAAACAAAAATGGGCAAAAGATATTAACAGACATTTTGTGAACAGAAGCATGAACAGCAGATAAGCATATTAAATGATATGTAAGCACCTTAATCAACTGGAAGTTGTTACACTTTATATCTAGTTGGCCCCCCAAAGCCTCATACACTGATAGTGGAGATTTGGGGAGGTGATTGGTGATAGGATGGGTGTGTTGTTCATCGGGGGACTAATCCACCCATGAATTTACTGCTGACTTACTGTTAGGAGGTGGTTCTGGTCTGGTCTGAAGAGGTGGGTTACTGGGGCATAGCCTGGGAGGGTTGATCTTTTTCCTGACACTCCCTTCACCCCTTCTCTGCTTCCTGTCTGCAAAACTCGTCTGCCCCTCTGCCGTGCTGCCCTACATTGGAGCCAGCTGATGATGGACTGAAACCCCTAGAAACTCTAAGCTAAAGTATGCTTTTCCTCCTTAGAGTTGTGGATGTTGTGTCCCAGCAATGAGAAAATAACTAAGACAGAAGCTCAATTTTTTTTCTGGTACTGGGAATCGAACTTAGAACCTCATGATTGCCAGGCACAGTCTGTGCTGCTGAGCTATATCCCAGGCCCAGAAGTACAAATTAATATCAGAAGGAGATAGCTTGAAGTCACTAAATGGACAACAAAAAAAAGCTTGGTATCAGAAGCATTTCAGATTTTGGAATATCTGCATATTCATAATGAGATATTCTGGGGATGCAACTTAAGTCTACACACAAAATTTATTTGCATTCCATGTATACCTTAAACACAGAGCCCAAATGTAATTTTATACAATATTCATGGTGCGCCTATATTTTGACTGCCACCCATCACGTGAACTCAAGTATGGAGTTTTCCAGCTGTGGCAATATGCGGGCACTCAAGAGGTTTTGGACTTTGAAGCATTTTGATTTGTCTTTTTTTGTTTTTTTTTTTGTTTTTTGGTTTTTTTTTTGCAGTACCGGGGATCGAATTCCTGACCTTGTGCTTGACACTCAGGCGCTTATGCCACTGAGCTATTTCCCCAGCCCCTGAAGCATTTTGGATTAGGAGTGTTTTTGAATTCTCAGTTTGGGCCCTGGCTGCAAAAATAGCATGAATTTCTTTCTCCTTCTTGTTTTGGGGGAATGTGGAGATATGGGGATTAAGCCCAGCAGCACTCTACCATTGAACTACATCCCCAGCCCTTTAGAGTGAGACCCAGGATCTCCCTAAATTGCCCAGGTGGGATTCAAACTTGCATTCCTCCTGTCTCAGACTCCCTCAGTGCTAGGATTATAGTCACTTGGCACCATTCCTGGCTTCTTTTCCCTTCATCACAACTTCACAGAGAGAAGATTCAGGCTTACTATAGATCTTACAAATGTCAGCAATTTTTTCTTTTCCTTTCTTTGTGGAGAATTGTTGGTTTTCAGTTAAAGGAAGCACTTTGGGTCTTCTCTTTGGGATATCTGAATTGCCAGCATCACTACTCTTGTACTTCAAGGTCATTCTGAAGTAAAATTAGGGTTACCTGAACTTAGGCACTACAAAATCAAGAACAGTAAATCTAATGACTGAGACTGCTACTAGGTGACAATATGTCACCAGGTTTTTCGGTGCTAAGACCTCCTCTTGGAGGTGGTTTCTAGGTTCTTTCTCTCCTGAGCAAGAATTGGTCAAGACAAGCACAAATGGTACCAAAATTTTATTAAAGATAGGAAGAGAAACAGGCTCGACAGAGCAAGTTTGGACCAAGAAAAAGTAGGAAAATAAGTACACCCTACAGCGTGAAGATGGGCCATGTGCAAGAGAGAATATAGTAGTGACCGTCTTTTTTGTATCATCCACACCTCAGACTGAGGTCAGGTCCACGCCATCATCCTATGGAAAACCTGCTCCAGTTCTCAGGAAAAGTCCACACGTGAGGCTTTGGGAGCTGTTCTATGCTTGTGTCCTGGGATTTTTTTTTTTTTTTTATTACCAGGTATTCAACTCAGGACCTTGCACTTGCCAGGCAGGCGTTGTGCCACTGAGCTACACTCCTAGCCCTGCCCTGGGATTTCACCCCCTCTTTGGCTTTTTGAGATAGTCTCACTGCATAGTTAGGCTAGCCTTAAATTCATGGTGATCCTTCTGCCTCACCTAAGTGCTGAGGTTACAGGCGTGTGCCACCATGCCCAGATGTGGGATTTTGTAATTACCAGGTCACATCTACTTCCCCAAACCAGTTTTGCCACACCCTGTCTCAAATGGACAGGTAATGTATACAGCATGGGTCCCCTGAATAAAGGTACGATTCTCATCCAGGGCAAGCTTCACACTACTCAGAACAACAAGCAATTTCAAACTTACAAATTGTTTACCTCTGGAATTTGCCATGTAATATTTTCAGGCCACAGTTAACCAAGGGTAAATGAAACCATGGAAACTGAAGCCATAGATAAATATGTTTATAGTAACCTATAAAGCCTTTAGTTTTAAAGTAATTTTCCTGGACCGTCAAAAATGCAATGTTACAACAAAAATTTAATACAATCATAACATTAATATCAAAACACCTTCATAAGTTAAGGATATAGCTCTGGGGTAATGGTGGCCTAACATTGCAAGGCCCTGGGTTCAATCCCCTGCACTGCCAAAAAGTGAGAATAAAAAAAAAAAAAAGAAAACCTCACTTTTAATGAAAGTCCTAAACAAGAGCAAACCCTCTGAACTTGTATTTCAAAGCAGTGTCTAGATACAGAGCAATTCTATTGCAATTCAAATCAAACCCAGAGCCTGCAGAGCTCATGTTCCTTGGAAACCTACGGAGTAGCACTCAAGCCCTAAACATCAGAAGATTCTCAAACAGATTAAGATTTTATAAGATCCTTTTCGCCTTTAACTAGGTTCGTTGTCACACATCAAAAGCTTTACCCTACCCCAAGCAGAAGATCAAGTGTGGCGAGACCTACCAGGCCTGAGGCCTCGCTTTTGCTCTACTCCGGTCTGCCAAAGGTAGAAAAACCACAACTCCCACAAGTCCTTGCAATCCCGATGATTGGTTGTTTTGCAGCCCCAACCAAGCGATAATTGGTCAGTGGGAACCAGAGGCGTGACCCCGCGAGACAGGCGATTTGAGAGCTCAGGTCCAAGTTCAGTGACCGACTGGTAGCGAAACTCCAGCGAAGCATGGCTCAGCGTTACCTTTGCACGATACTGCTAATTTTCGCCACTGTCTCCAGGTTTAAGGGCCTGGGGGGCAGGGAGCTACGGGCTACATCGCGAATCCCTTCTTACTTCAGCCGAGAGGAGCGCACTGCTATGAAAGAGGCGCTGAAAGGTGAACCTGGGTCCCCTCCGCCTGCCCACCGGAACACATAACGTGGGTCCCTCGGTCCTCGGGACTCCGCAGAGGGTCCTGTACTCAAGCTGGAGCTCAGCCACACACCCCGCCCGGCCCGGTCCCGGTACCCTGCAACAGGCCCCGATTTAGGTTCGCTGCCCAGTCTGGAAGCCCCAACTTTACCCTGTTGGCCTGGCCTCTGCCCACCCTACCCCTTTACTTGCCTCCAATATTACAAGGGCTGCTATTGGTACAGCGCTTATAACTTGTGTAAAGTTTTATGTCTGTTAAATCTCTGCGATATCTTAAGATCAAACTAGGTGATCTTGGTCTTATCTCCAGAAGTGGAAAGTTAAGGTCTGTAAAGTGATCCCCGGGGTGGGGACCAAGGAATGGGCACTGGGTGACAACAGCAAATGTCCGGACTCTCTGGACTCCAAATAGCTGTAAGAAAGGGTGTGGAGTGTTCTGGGGTGTGAGATGTTCCTAATATCTTTTCTTAATTGAAGTACCTAACAAGGCTAACAACTCATTCATCTTCTGAATTTGTGTTTTCCAGGAGGAAAAAGGAAAGTTTCTGTTGAGTGTTAGATCCTATGGGGTAATGAGATCTGTCCTGGCTGTCAGGCTCAGCTCCAGTCTTTTCTCTTTCATTAACTGGTGGATTAAGAAAAACGGCCTATGTCAGCATATGCAGGCAGAGATGCAGGGACTAAATGTAGCTTTTGTTGTTGCAAAAATATTGCGCGTGTGCTGAAATGATAGGCTAGGAAGATGGAGAAGGGCTTTCTCAAAGCACAGTATAAAGCTAACTACTCAGAATCCATTTGCACAGAAGCAATAGGGACCATGTAGAAGCGTAGTACAATTCTTAGGAAGCTGCAAAACACCTGAGTTCAGATCTTGGGTCTGCGCTTGGGTGGGCAGTTTAGTCTTTTTGGGTCTCATATTCTCCATCTTTATGGTGAGCTGTGATTCATAGAGTTGATCCTTAGCAAAACAGAACACAAAAGTCAGTTTGTCTTTCACAGGTGCTCCCTAGAGGTTCCTGGTGAATGTGTTTCTGGATTATTAGATCTCTATCTAATCAAATATTTTCACTACTCATTGCATTTCTCTGGCAGGTGGTGTTTACATTTGATAGTGGGGCCCTTGTGAACTGTAAAGGCTTCAGGATTTAGAGGGATGAACTTAGTGACAACTCAGAAACAGTTATCTGGGTGTGGAGAATGAATTTATTTAAGGGCTGAAGAGCTCATTCAGTAAGAGTTGAATCCCAGGTATTATTTGCCCAGAAAGCTGACATGGTTGAGATTAGTGAAACTTGAAGAAGCAGGCCATGAGGAAGAAGCCCACCTTCCACACACACAAGCACACAAGTGTCCCTGATGTAGGGGCCCAGGACAGTGGGTGCCTGAGACTGATGAAGCTTGGGACTCATCAAAGGGAGTGGTGATTTCAGAGGTGCGGTGATGCCTTAGGAAACAGTTTATAAAAACTTTCCCCTCAGAGGAAAGGGCAAAATTCCAGTCCGAGATTTTATTTTCCCTTAAGAACTCTATTAGTGACAACAAATCCTAAAGATCTGGGTTTAAATCTGACTCGCACGGCCCGCTGCTGCATGATCTTAGGAGGCTCATCTAACCTCTCTAGACTTTCTCCAAATTAGGGAGAATAACAATGATGACCCCACAAAATTATTTTGCCTTCTACAATAAGATAATAAATGCAAAGACAACTTTTTATGTACAAAGGACTGGGGGTTGGGGGTTACAAGTTGAGTACCTCTCGTCAGAAGGGGACCAGAGAAGTGTTTCAGATTTTGCAATGTTTGAATTGACTTTACCAGTTGAGCATCCCTAATCTGAAAATCCAAAATCTGAGATGCCCCCAAATCCAAAATCCTTTGAGTATTGTGTGGACACTCAGAGTTTCAGGTTTCAGACGACTTTGGATTTCAGATTTTTCAATTAGGAATGCTCAACCTGTATTATTTTTAATCTTCTGCTTCTGATTTTTTAACTCTGACAGGTGCCATCCAGATTCCAACAGTGTCTTTTAGCCATGAGGAGTCCAATACCACAGCCCTAGCTGAGTTTGGAGAATACATTCATAAAGGTCAGCTGCAAACTGTGGGCAAAGGGTGTTAGAGACAACACGGGGAACATAATCCTCTTACAAGGTGATAAAGAAGTTTGTTTTGCAACTGATCAGAGGACAGACTAATTCTTGAGAGTTTCTTTTGAGTACATAGTGGGGAGGTATGAAAGAGAGAATCTCAGTTACTGGTGGAGGCAGAGTAGTACTATAGATTTGTCCTTTGAAGAACATAGCCAGTGGGTTGGAATTGAACTCTCCCAGTCTTTGCCCTAAATATGTGTCAATCCATAAATATAATTAAAAGTACAGCTAGGAATTCCTTCTACCTGGGCAAATATCCAGAACTATGTCCATGCATTGCACACCCCTGTCTCCACACACACAACTGTATCCTGTACACCCATCCCACCTCTGGAGGCCTACTCAGATTGACTATTTTCTAAGCCCCTAGGCCAGTGATGGCAAACCTTTTAGAAACTGAGTACCCAGATTGCAACCCCAAACCCACTTATTTATCACAAAATGCCAACATTGCAATTAAGCCTGAATACTGAGCTTTAGTTTAGAAAAAAAAAACTCATATTAACATCTTTTGTTTTAAAAGCAAAACAAAAGGCATGCCATAGGTTTGCCACCCCTGCTCTAGGCAGTTAATGACTTTGAGCTGTCCTCTCTCCTCCCGACCACCATGGAGCACAGAACAAGGAAGGATGGTCAGAGAGGGAAAGAATCTTGGAGCCCCTGTCCCCTTGTGAAAATGTAATGGAGAACAGGGAGGCACTCTTCTAAAATACATAAAAATCAGCTCCTCCAAAGTTTTCAGAAGTGGGAAAGGCTGGCCTGGGAACAGCGAGTAGCCCCTACCCCTAACACTCTGGGACAAATGAATCTGACATTAATGTCTAGCCATCAAACTGGGAGGCCAAGCAGAAAGTCTTTATCATATAGTTGATTTTATTTTTTTTTTTTTCATATAGTTGATTTTTAAAAAGTAGAGTGAGGCCAGGAGTGGTGGTACACGCCTGTCCCAGCACTCAGGAGGCTGAGACAGGAGGATCACCATGAGTTCGAGGCCAGCCTGAGCTACAAAGTGAGTTCAAGGCTAGCCTGAACTACATAGTGAGATCCTGTCTATAAATAAATAAATATATAAATAAGAGAAAGAGAAGATTTGGAAATTGAGCAGACAGAAGTTTTGTCTCAGAAGGTTTCCTAAAGGAAAATGCATGCTAAAAAAAAAAAAAAATGCTAGGGAGCCCTAAATGGTAGGAAGACCAAAGGATGCTATTAAACTTGGTTTTCTCTCCCACTTTTACCCCTTTGCCTCTAGTCTTTCCTACGGTGTTCAGCACCAGCTTTATCCAGCATGAAGTTGTGGGAAAGTACAGCCACCTACTCACTGTGCGAGGCTCAGACCCCAGCTTGCAGCCCTACATGCTCTTGGCTCACTTTGACGTTGTGCCTGCCCCTGAAGAAGGCTGGGAGGTGCCCCCGTTCTCTGGGCTGGAGCGTGATGGCTTCATCCATGGTCGGGGCACACTGGACAACAAGAACTCTGTGATGGTCTGAGATGCTCTTTCTTCTGCCTTGGGGCCCTAGAGATAATCCAGGATGGGTATATTTGGCTGACTTCTGGGAGGAAGGAGGTTATGGTAGAAACAATCTTGGCTGCAAGAGACCTGGGTTCCAGCCATCAGTTTGTCGCTTCCTTTTGCTGGACCTTGATGTCTCAAATGTGTAAGGATTGAACTAGAAAATCCCCACGGACCTTCTCAGCTCTGACATTAATAAATATATGCTTTTCTCCAGGTGGCAAATGTTTTATGAAACATTCTACTTCCCCACATCTGGTCCCCTGGGAGCATTTGAATTTGTTCTCTTTAAAGAGAGTCTATCAGATCCTAGCTCCACCAGCCCTGATGGAAACAGCTGGATATCTCTGATATCCTACTTAGATAACCTCACTCTCTCCTCTTCCATTGTTTTTCTAAACCCCAGGCGATCCTGCAGGCCTTGGAGCTCCTGCTGATCAGAAACTACGTCCCACAGAGATCTTTTTTCATTGCTCTGGGTCATGATGAGGAGGTAGAGACACTATACCTATCTCTGGGACCCTTGTTGAGGGTGGGATCCAGGTGCTTCACCATAGTTCACTGTGCCCCTCAGCTACAAGGACTCATGAAGTGGTGTAGTGATTTGCCAACTTCTCTGGGTGTCTGTTCTGTGTGCCAGAACTGTGTAAGGGCCATGACCAAAATTCTTTGTAAAAGACCTGAATTGTTTGTTCATTTGTTTGTTTGTTTTTTAAAAAAACAGGATCTCACTATGTAGTTCAGGCTGGCCTGGACTCACTACGTGGCCCAGGATGGCCTCGAACTAGGCTGGCCACCATGCCCAGCAAAGACCTAATTTTTAACAAACTCCCTAGTAATATCTGAAGCAGGCAGGTAGTCTGTCACCTACACCCTGAGAAAAAATGGTGTGATCGAGAACTGAACAGGGAGATCAATGACTTATTTGCAGTAAAGCTAGCTATTTTGACCCTGGGCAAATCACTTCACGCTCTGGGTCCCAGTTTCTTTGTTTGTGAGATGAAGGGAGCTGGACTCTTCCAGCTGTGACATTCCAGGAAGCCGTGAGGCAGAAATGTCTCAGCCCTCCCCCCTCCCCCTCAGGAAGTAACTAAGGAGGAAGATTTTGGGGCCATGTCTGCAGGTATCAGGAACCAATGGGGCTCAGAAAATCTCAGCGCTGCTACAGGCCAGAGGTGTCCAGGTGGCTTTCGTTGTGGATGAAGGCAGCGGCATCTTGGATGGATTTATTCCCAGCCTCGAGAAGCCCTTTGCCATGTGAGTAAAGCATCCCTGCTCCACCTGGAAGGGAGCTGCCCCACCTGGTCTGTGAGGACCCCAGCCCGGTGTCTGAGCCACACTGAGGCTGCTCCATATCAGCCCTGTTGCCTTAGTCACACTCATCTTCCCCTTCCCTTCTTCCTCTAGCATAGATTTTTTTTTTTAAAGCAGCTTGAAACTGACCTCTAGGTCAACTGAGCATCCCATAGATGGCTTTTGGCCTGTGGGATAACTCAGGGTGGGAAGAGGTCAAGAGGACCATCCCTGATCCCCTTCCACAGGATTTCGGTCTCAGAAAAGGGTGCAATTGACCTCATGCTGCGGGTAAACATGACTCCAGGCCACTCTTCAGCTCCTCCAAAGGAGACAAGCATCGGCATCCTAGCAGCTGCCGTTAGCCGGTAAGTAACGCCTGTGCTCGCTCAGGGTAGAAGGCTTGGCACTGTCCATCTGTGTGTTTGAGGAGACAAGACTAACTGCCCTGAAGTGGGCTGGGAAGCGATGGTACAGCCCCATAGGGACAGAACTACCTGCAGTAGGCAAGTACTGGGGTCAGCAGAGGGTGGATCAGTACATCACTACGGCATGCAGTGCCAGGAGACAAGAGACAGGCCAGTTGGACAGTTGATCCAGAGTCCAGCTAAGCAGTTAACATTCACAAGTTGTCATATGGCTAAATCATCCATTAAATTCTTCTTTTGCCCAGGCCGTTGGACAGAGATAAACAAAGGCTGTTTATGAGGTGAGAACAGCATGGTCTGTAATAGCAGCGCTCAACAGTGGCTAGGTTTTCATCACAAAGTGGGAAGGAACGCAGTATTCATGCAAATACTGAATGCATAGCTGCCATGGTCAAGGCTGTGTGCCAGGGGATAGGCATACCAGGAATGAAGCAGCCCTGTTCTCAGGGCACTCAGAGTTGGTGAAGGAGGCTGACAGTTTGGCTGCAGCATTTCAGGGTCTTGAGACTGAACACACAGGATGTCAGAGAGGAGCAGAGGGAGGGCAGGAGCAGGACTAACTTGGACTTGATGGATAGGAAAAGCTGCTGCTGGTAGGGTGGAAATCATCCTGCTGGTGCTTTGAGAGCTTGAGTTGCTGGAAGTCACGCACAGGTGAATGGCAGAGTTCCTGACCAGGCTGGTCAAAACTGCCAAGTCTTGAGGACTCTGTTTCTCTTACAGACTGGAGCAGACCCCAATGCCGAACATGTTTGGAAGCGGGCAGTTGAAGACGATGTTGCAGCAACTGGCAAGTGAGGTGCGGGAAGGAGCAGCACACCGCTCTTATGCAGCTGTGGAAGAGGAACAAGAGGGTGGCGGAGTGGGCAGTTTTAGAGAGCCACCCCCAGCTCTGCCTGATCTCACCTTTCACAGCCAGTGGCTCAGCCCTACCGAAGGGGCGGGCTTGTTCCCTGGGCTGCTGGTACTTAGCTGAAACCCTAAGGCCTAACACACCAGGCACCCTTGGAGAGTTAGTTCCCACTCATCACTGAGGTTGCTGAGCAATTCAGCTAAGCCCCGCCAGGTAGAAACTGCCTTGCCCTCTAGGACGGGTGGAACCAACTGAACTCAGGGAGGACCCCAAGGCAGTAGACACTGCGCTGTCCTCACTGATCCTGCTAACGTTCTTTCCCTTTCAGTTTCCCTTCCCTACCAATATAGTCTTGAGCAACCTGTGGTTATTTCGGCCCCTCGTAAGCAGGTAAAGTATTATCTTTCCTTCCCCTCCATCCCCTGTCCTAAGCCTACCCTCACCACAGTCCCCTTCATTGGCCTGCCTGGGCCTGACCAATCATCCCTTACCCCGCACAGACACCACATCTAATTCAGGTGTAGGACGTCTCTGTTGGTCTTGAGGGTCTCCAAGCTTCAGGAAAGTGGGTGAACTTCCAGCCCTTTCTTTTTCCCCCTTGGATGGTTCTTCTTAAAGTCTAACTTGGTGTCCTTTTGCTTTAGGTTAATGGATAGAAATCCCATGACCAATGCACTGGTCAGGACCACCACAGCAGTCACCATGTTCCATGCCGGGGTCAAGGTAATGTCATCTGGTTCTGCAATGACCTTTTTGCTGCCCACTCCCCTCTCCGTCCTCTCTGTCCTGTGGCTTTATCGTCCTTCTCTAACTGCAGGTTGAGCACTAGGAAGGGACAGAGCCAAACGGGCCTGAGTCGTGATGGGTACACGCCCAGAGCAGGGATCTAGCCAGGGCCGACCAACTCTCTAAAGTTGTTGGCCACATTATATATGTGCTTATTTTAGTGGAAGATACCCAGGACCCTCTCAAAGTCCTTAGGTCTGATCTTCCCCAAAGGCAGCCATTATACTGCTGTGAAGAAGGGTCATTGGGGAGTTCACTTTTGTGACCTATGATCAGGCTATAACTCAACGTATTTTATATTCACCTCACACTTTGGTCATGCAGACTAAAGGTTTCCAACCTTTCTACCACCAAGGATCTTTTTAAAGGTCCTCATGTTTTAAAAGATTTATCCACTTAACTAGTTAGTAAGTAATTAATGCGTTTTATCCAGTGTTAATCCTAAATTGAAGAAGGGAAACCAGCCTGGCATGGTGGTGCATACCTGTAATCCCAGAGCTCAAGAGGCTGAGGCAGGAGGTTTGCCATCAGTTCAAGGCCAACCTGGGCTAGACAGCAAATTCAAGGCTAGCCTGAATTACACAGTGAGACTCTGTCAAAAGGAGAGAGAGAGGGAGGGAGAGAGAGAGAGAGAGAAAGGAGAGAGAAAGGAAGGTGGTGGGGGAATTCAATTGCCACATATAAAATTAAGGAAAAAATGAATAAAATTCATCATTTCCCAAAATCTACTAAATATTGGGTGGCCTTAACAGACAATTTCTATATGAGGTTTACTTTTCTAGAAATAAATTTCAGGTAAATCAATACTTTGATAAATTTTTGTTCCAAGAATTACTTTACAGTGAATTAGTCTGCTTTGTGGATTGGCCACTACAAGACGTCTCTCTTTAAAAGACCAAGCCTAAGCTTGTAATCCCAGCGCTTGGGAGGCTGAGGCAGGAGGATTGCTGCAAGTTCGAGACCAGTTTGGGCTACAAAGTAAGCTCAAGGTCAGCCTGAACTGCATAGTGAGACCCTGTCTCAAAAAAAAAAAAAAAAAAAAACCAAGGCTAGCCACACAAAGGCATAGGCCTTTCTGAAATCTTGCAGAGAATTTGATCACTCCTGGAAGTGTGCCACCACCACAGTTTAAGAGGACACCATTCACCTAAAGATCAATGTGACCTGTAGAGCCCAGTGTGGTAGCACATGCCTGTTATCCTAGCTAGTTGGACGGCTGAGATGGAAGATCACTGCAAGTTTGAGGCCAACATGCACTATGTAGTAGTGAGTTCAAAGCCAGCCTGAATTACATAATGGGACCCTGTTTCAAAAAACAAAACAAACAAATAAATAAAAAAGGGCTGGCTGTAGCTCCATGGTAGAAGCCCTTGGTTCAGTCTCCAGCACTGCAAAACAACGATAACAACGTGACTTTGAGGCGGTCTGGCAGTCTGGAGCCTGCACTGGGTTAAGTAAATAATGCCTCTGAGTTATTTCCCGGCGTAGCTCATTGGTGTGTGCAGTTTGGAGCCTGACCTGAGGTTTTCCCACCAGCGGCCCAGAGCCCTCACCAAAAAAACAGCACTGTGTCCTTGTACTTGAATGATATTCTCACCTAGAATGCTTCACATTTGCCAACATCATTTGATCCTTCTAAGACCCGTATGATGATCATTGCCCCACTTGCCAGTTGATAAAACAGAGGCACAGTGACATTGCAATGGCTCAAAATCCCACAGGCAGTTTGTAACAGCCCAGGTCCCTGGTCTAGTGCTTTCTTGTACCACACCAGTTCAAAGAAAGACATACAGTCCAGGAAGCTGTTCTCTCTCAGCCCCCAAGGAGAAGCTCTCCACAGCTCGACTGTCTTCTCCTGTTGGTCCTGGCTGCTTACTGTCAGGTGAAGAAGAGTCAGATTTTGCAAATGAGTGTGAGAAACCAACACCACCACCATCCTTCCCTCAGGGATAAAGCAGGCAATGAGGTGGCCCAGGAGGCTCTGCTTGCTCTCATGTTAATGTAAGCACTGACATTAACAGAAATGTCCAGGTAGCCCTGAAAAATTGCACACAGAAGGTTCCCAGTGTACAGCGCAGGGCCAGAATACAAATGTCTAGGCTGTCGCTGAGAAAGCTGTGTTCTCTGAGCACTCTGTGACAACCTCAGGGACCAGGAAGCAGAGGACCTAGCAGAACGCAGCAACCCCCCTGCCCTGGATATAACTACATGCCAAGGACCCAGCAAAGACAAGGGCAGATTAAGAGTAGTAAGCCCTGGTTCCTTAAATCACATCGGCTTCCTCTGCTCCTGCTACCACTGGTAATTGGTATTTTCTAGGCAGGGATCAGCTGTGGGAGACTTGAGGTTGGCTCAGGCCAAGCTTTCTGATTCCCTCCCTAGGTAAATGTCATCCCCCCAGTGGCCCAGGCCATAGTCAACTTCCGGATTCACCCTGCACAGACGGTCCATGAGGTACGTCCCATATATTCCAGAAAATGGGTTCAACGTAGGGCTGGGCCAGTGTCCTTTGTTCAGTGTACTTTTTTCGAAGGCATTCTATGGCTACACGGCTAGGATACGATCTCTGGTTTGGAGGAATTTTGTGTTTTTGGTAGGAAGTGAGAGACATAGATGAAGAAATGATATCAAAAGTAGTAAATAGTGAGCTTGCTGTATGTTTGGCGCCATAGCTAGATGTTCACACATTTCATACCACTCATTTAGTCTTTACAGCTATGCTATGAGGTAGGCACTGCATTGCTCTTTCTCCAAGCCAGTAAAAATGGAGGCACAGAGCAACAGAGCAATTAAACAGCATGTTCATGATTGTGCATCTAGCACTCTAGCTTCTGAGTCTGTGCTCTACACTACAAAGATAACAACCAGGGATGAGCAAACCACATATGACCACTGCAATGGAGAGCTGATGCTACCTTGAAGGGACAAAAAAAAAATCATTTCTGACCCCTAGAAATGTGAGTTGGGTGTTAAAGGATCACCAGAACTTAATAGAAATAAGACATTCATGTGGCTAAAGAGGAGAAATTGGGGAGAATTAACAGGAGATAAAAATTGATAGGAGGTAAGAGTCTTAGCTTGGGGACCAAGGTCTAGTATTCCACACTGAGGACAGGAATGAACTCTCAGAGTTCTTCAAAGAGTGCCAGGATAGGCTCAGATTGACTGTTAATGACATCAGAATCACTCAGGGGAAGTGCTGGGGTAGAAGGAGACAGGAAGCATTGCAGCAGCTCAGGCGGTACATGTGAAGGTCTGTACTGAGGCTGTGGTCATGGGGTAGAGACAGGGAACTCACCTGCAAGAGAGGGGTTTGACAGGATGTGTACGGGTGTGCAGCAAGGGAAAGGCAGAACTGCTCCAAGATGTCAACCCAAGTACAGTAGTTGGCCAAGAACCAGTGCCTATGTCCAAGACTTAGAATTTGGGAAGAAGAACAAATTCAAGGAGAAATATAATGGCTTCAGAGTTTGACAAGTGTATCATATAAATTAATAGGCAATTTTAAATACTACCTCCAATTTGGAGAGAAACGAACTCGAGGTACAAAGTGGAGTGTTATTAACATAATTGGAACCTGCAAAGTCAACAATGGGTGCCATGATGGAAAGGAACCTGGTGCTTTGGGGAAAAAATAAGAAGGAATGAGACCTCTTCTGGGGCCAGGCAAGGCTTCCCTGAGGCAGGGGCATTTGAGCTTAGAGCTCAAGGGTGAGCAGAAGTTCCACTGTATGCTTAATATCTAGAGGAAATGCCAGCTTAACCAAACATCGGGTTGAACGAAAAAAATTCAAAAGGTTAACCTGACCCTTCAAACTTTAACCAAAATAGCAATCCAACAACTATCAGATGAATTAAATATTCTAGAATACATAAACTTAGAGGCAGGTCTCTGGCACAGATCATGGAGGGTCAGCTACACTTAGACTCCTGTGGGTCTCTCTCCTAAGAGATCTCTCTCCTAAGATCTTCCTGTGAAGGAGTTAATCTGTGCTCAAGCATGGAGGGAACCGCACTCCTCACCACGGATGGGGAGTAGATTTATAGCCTGCCTAGAGCCACCCAGCATTAGGGGAAGGGGGAGCTAGAACCAGTGTGAAATACTGGACCATGCTGCTTTTCATCAGATGCCAACCTTTGTCCTCCCCTGGGGGATCATGAGGCCAGGAAATCACTGAATTCCCCCATTGAGCTTCTTTCCACCAGTTTTTTTCCGGCCTTGTTCCAATTCCATGCCCTTCCCAGGGGCTGTTTTCCACCCAGCCAGGACTTTCATCTCCCTAGGTCCTGGCACTCTTCCCTCCTCTTTTTCCCACCCCTGAATTCCTAGGTCCATCCTGCCCACCTGCACCAGTGAGGAATGGAAAGCTTCCACCAGTCAGAAAACTCACAAGCCCCATTGGTCCTGGTCCTTTCCCTCCCAACTCCCCCAGTCCATTTTCCAAGGACATGGCCTGAGGGCTGCATGCACAGACTCCCATGCTGGAGATAGAAGGAGAAAAACAGGCAGCCTCCAGAATCCTTTCTCCATCTTCACCTGGTCTCTGCCATGTCCCTGATGTATGTAGACTCCAGCACCTACCTCTGAGAAACCAAGACTCTTCAGAAGTTTACCAGACTACCAGTGGAAAGGAAAGTTCATTTTGAATGGGCCTTTAAGAGTAGAAATGGCCACTGGGTGAGGTTTCAGGGAGCCTCCACTTAAGGGAACATTCTGGAATATGCCATTTTTGGCAGTAATGATGTTCTCATCCCTCACAGGGCTCAATCAGGGTATCATGGAGAAGATTCTCTCCTGCATTCACTCGGTCACTAAGAGTCTACTGAGGGTTGCTCACTGTGGGCCAGTATTCTTCTAAGCAGTTGGGGTAGTGGTGAACATGAGAAACAAAATTTTCATTCTAAGGGCACTCGTGCATTAGTAGGAAGAGACAGCAGTAAGCAAGTGACCAGATAAAAGAACAAGGGGATTTTTCAGTGGGAAGTACCATGGAGAAGATAATAGACACCACATCCAGAGTGATGGGGGCATGGGGTGAACTGTGCCAAGTCCAGCAGTCAATGATGTTCTCTCTCTGAGGAGGTATTTCCATTGAGATCAGGAGAGGAGCTAGACCTGGGAATGCATCCAGACAGCAAGAGCCCCCACTGGGGGAGCAGTACTAGCACCCCTTCTTCAACATATGGATAACAATAGCACCCACTTCCTAGGATAACTGTGACCATCACCGGGGTTAGTATGGGTAAGTGGTTAGGCCAGCGCCTGGCACATTGCAGGCACTCAATGAACACTAGCTGGTATTTGTTTGTTTAGAATAGAGGGACCTTTCCTGAGAAATAACCAGAGATACAAGGCTGGGAGTAGGAGAAGGGACTCATCAATGGTGAGGGAGACTTCAGAGTTACTTGAGAACACATTGACCTTTCACTTCTCTATCTGCAGTCCTTCTGGAACACTCCACAGCGTTGTGTTGTCCCACAGTGTTGTGTTGTGTTATGTGTACTGACATTCCGCTCAAGTGAATGGCAGATGTGTTGAAGGTAAAGATAGTAGACATATAAAAGAGGGTTCGGCCTTCAGAGTTTAGCAATCCAGATTCCACTCTGTTGTACAGCTGCTCACTAGAAGACCAGGACAAGCTGTTATTTTAAAATATATCATCCCATTCTTCAGCAACTTGATTATGAGTGTCTTCCTTATACTGAGCTGAGACATGACTTTCTATAACACTCAGCACCCCTCCTGACTTTTTTCACATTGCATATACTATACTCCACAGGATCTAGCATGCTGATAGATACACATGAACACTCAGCTGAATCTCACTGCGTGTTAACAGATAAGCAAGATGAAGCATAGAGAGCTCAAGGACTTTGCCAAGGTCATGTAGTTCCGGGTGACTGTCTGTCATGCACCTCTCCATGCCCAGAATGGCTGTTGCCTCTTTCCCATTAGTTTCATGACCTTCCTTCAAACTTGAGCTTAGAATTCATACCACAAAGGCTTCCTTCTCACTTAAAGGATGTGCAGGATCCTTCTTCTCACCTCCTCCACCTATTATGTACTCAGGAAGCAGAGACGCATCATCCTTGTGAGCAGAGGGGAATGCCCAGTGTGGCAGTATTAACTTCCTGGATGACCCTGGCAAGTTAGTTACTGAGACAGCTCCTAGGATTGCTTTTAACAGGTCCCATCTTTTATGTCTCAAGTATACGACATTTATTGCAGGCCTTTCATGTGCTTAATATTGGGAACATGGACATGTCCCTGAGCTAGTGGGAAGCCTGCCCTCTTACTGAAGGGAGACAGCCTGTCTACTTTCTTTGATTTCTGGAAATAGGAACCTCTAAATGGTTTGGGGCAGGGGAGAGTACATACAGTGCAATCCAACCTCATAGGAGAAGACTTCAGGAACCTTTCAGTGGGTAAAGAATGTATCAAGACCGTACATTAGTCAGGCATAGAGGCTGGGAAGGCATAGAGGCAGGAAGATCACAAATTCAAGGCCAGCGTGGGCAACTTTAAAATAACCTGTCTCAAAATAAGTTTAAAAAGGGTCACTCAGTGGTAAAGCCCTTGCCTAGCATGTTCAAAACCTGGGTTCGATCTCCAGCACTGCAAAGGTTTTTTTTTAAAAAAAAAAAAAAAGGCTACATTAATTCTTATGTTAGACTAGAATGTTTGGGCCATAAGCACTTGAATGAAACTAAGCTGAAAATAAGCTCTATGACTCCCTCACCTACCCAGCAACAGGGAATTGCTTTGACTCAAATAGTAATTTGTAAACCAGAAGTGGAAACCCTCACTTCTACTCCAGATCAGTATGTTCTTGAGGCCATGCCCCCATTCAGGTAGTCCTGACAATAGGACACCCCCCTTTGAAATGACCAGTAATTGCAGAGAACTTTTTCAAGCAACTCCCAATCATATGAGTCCAGACTGGTGCTGGGCCTGTCTTTGGGTGTCTGCGTGGGTTTGGGTCCATTCCCACATATGACCTACTGCTCGGGTCACATTGGCATCCTTTTTTGGGGTCAGGGATTTTGCCAGATCCCCTCTAGTCATTTCAGGCTGAATTTCCTAGTAGTTTCCTCAGGTTCCTTCCTGAGGAAAGGCAGCAAAGAGAGAAAACTTGAATACCAGTATCTCAACTTCTGACTTTTTGTCTGTGCTGAGCTCATCTTCCTGCCTCTGGTACAGCTGGTTGCAAACAGGAAGCAGGAATGCCTGGAGAGAGAAAAAAAGAGGGGATGGCCCTTTCGTCACCTGTCTGAGACTCAGTTTGAAGCAGGATCCTCCCATTGCCTTGAGATGGTTGAGATTCCAGATGTACTGTCTCGTTTACACCTTCAACCAGCACGTGACTCTCATCCCCAGGAAGACAACACATAATTTCCTGATTGTCCAATTCCCCAACCAACTCCTGGCAATGAGACAAGCCTCCCACACATTTAGTCTAAATTTGCCATGCTGTAATTGCTTTGTGGGAAGGCTCACCTCTTACGTCACCAAGGTCAGTTGAAATTGAGGTCCTTTCCCCAGGGCTCTGCCTTGCTGAAGAGAAATTAGGACCATTTTTTTTTTTTTTTTTAGTTTTATTAAGACATTTTACATATATATAATGATCACATTGATCATAGGGAATTTGCGCCTGTATGTGATATATCTTTCTTCGTTTTTCCCCATACCTCTCCCCTCCCTTTAACCCCTCTTTCCCTCCTTATTTACAAAAGCTTTGTTTCCATTTTTCCTTCCATTCATTCTGTTTTCTTTTCCCTTCTTTCCTTTCCCCCTCCCCACTCCCTAGTTCCCCTTCCCATCTGAACATTTTCTTCCTATTTCACAGTATCTATTATACATTTTAGACCTTATTTACCCTTTCCGTTTCTCACACCAGAGAAACAATGCAATATTTAAACGTGTGTCTGATTTATTTCACTTAAGAGTATGGTCTCAAGGTGCCTCCATTTACCTAGAAATGCTTCAAGCCTATCCTTCTTTAGGGACCATGTAAAATTCAAATGGCAGTTGAATACCAGATCATTGTGAAATCTAACCACCTTTTTTCCAACCTGGAGGTCCTAGAACTTGCCAAGAACATTGTGGCTGATGACCGAGTGCAGTTCCAAGTGCTGAGAGCCTTTGACCCTCTGCCCATCAGTCCCTCTGACGACCAGGCGATGGGCTACCAGCTGCTCCGCCAGACCATACAGTCCATCTTCCCAGAAGTCAATATTGTTGTCCCTGGTAATGACTTCATCCACTGTGGTTAGAGGGAGGTGGGGCTGGAACTGCTTCCTATCCAGTGTCTACTGCCCTGCACCCACCCCAGCTGTTCATCCGGGAAACAGCTGGCTGCTTCCCCTGCTGATGGGACTAGAACTGTATTTTCCCCTCAGGGTGGAAGTGAGAAAACAAACAGGAAAGGAGCAGAAACAATAAATTCAGTGAGTCAAGCCTGGGTCCTTGCTTAACCTAGGCCAACAAGGACCTGTACCGCTGGTCTAGAGAGGAGGGTTGGCTTAGAATCCCCTTTTCTCTCTGGAGGAGCCACAGAGGCAGCCAAGATTCTCCCCACACCCAGGTTCTGGTTCTGATTTTCTCTAGAATAACAACTCAGAAGCAGGACTCAAACGCATCAACCCAGAAGACTGTCCTGGCCCATAACATTTGCATGAACCCCTTTCAGCCCTCTAGCGCAGTCCAATTCCAGTAGCTTTTTCTGGGCCTCCGCCCCAGTCTTCATTGTACTGTCCAAATCTGCCCATGACAGTGGTTTCCAACCAAGAGTGGATGAGGATTACCCAGGGAGCTTCTTAAAATGCAGACCACCTGGACCCACTCTCAAAGGTTCAAGTCAGCCACTTCTGGATGGAACCCTGCAGTGTACCTTTTGACATCCACAGAGGATTCTGACAAAAGTGATAGTTGGCCATGGTTTGAGAAGTTCTTGGTCCATGGAATAGGGAAGAGAAGTTCCAGTGTGAAGGCCTGTGTCCTTCTACCTGGATTTAATCATGGATTTCTCCAAACATCCAGGAGCCCTGGCCCTCATAGTCCCAGACCCTCTTCTCCTGGCCCCCAAAGACTGTGTCCCATTGGGCGTGGAGGCACATGCTGGTAATCTTAGCACTTGGGAGGTTGGGGCAGGAGGATCACTGTGAGTTCAACGCCATCCTGGGCTTCAAAGTGAGTTCAAGGCCAGCCTTAATTCCATAGCAAAATCTTGTTTCAAGAAGACCTGGGACATTTACTGTAATCCTCATCAGTGAGATTGAGTTGTGAAAGGAAAAAATATTGGCAGAAATCCAAAACACAGAATTGTGAAGGGGCTAACTACCCATTTGAAACCAGGAGAGAAAAATATAACAAAACACAAACTACCACTTCAAATCATTTCACTTGTCTTCCCACTCTGTGGTATCTTTTCCAAAGAACATACCTATCGGGACAAATCCCGGCCCCACATGGGTACCCTACTCTGCCTTCGGAACAGTAGGAGACTGGAAAGAGGGAATCTTCAGAAAAGAGAGAATCTTTCCACACCTGAGGTTTGACTCGAGAAGGGAATCGCCCCTCAGGATGAGAATAACAGAAAGTTATGTTCCACTTGAAGAGGCCTATGCATACATGGTGTTTATTTCTGACCAAGGGCAATAGCGAATAGAGGTCAGGTGATAACAAAGTTATATCTAGACTTCTGGTTTCTAAAATAGCAAATAGCCCTGGTGATGGTGATGAAAGGAAGGTATTGTCCTCCTTGGCCATCATGGAGAGAGGACACCTAGGTTTAGATCATTCCGGGAATATCTCACCAATGCCCTTGATTCCATGTTCCTGTCTGAAATTATGTTTTTGTCAGGTTCTAAGAAAGGGTAGCTCAGAAGACAAAAATGCCATAGCCATAGGCTCCTACCAAGACCCTAGGCAGTTGCCCTATGGAGACCCAGGGGTCCTAATCTTCCAACCACCCCACCTCCTAACACTTACTTGGCTTGGTTACTCATACAAAGTTCTCTTCATCTTCCCTCTCTAGGAACTTGTATCGGCAATACAGACAGCCGGCAGTATGCGAACCTCACCAGCAGCATCTACCTGTTCAATCCTGTCCTCTTCCAGCCTTCAGACTTCAGTAGGTGAGTGGACCAGCTCTGAGCAGCAGGGGAGACAGGAGGCACATGTGACCTGTCCTTTCCCACCCCAACAGTCCATGGAACAAGGCAAAGCCAGGGGTTGGCAGACTAGCATGGAGACACTATGGAAGCCAACTGCCCCTGTGGCCAGAGGCTTGCCATTCCCCAGAATTTACAGAAACTGCTCCTCTTTCACAAGGACAGACATAATCAGACATAATCAAGTGATTGGTAAAAACCTGGTGGAATTAGGACCTTGGGTGCTCTTCCTGCCTATGGGAGAGTTGTTTCTCTCCAGGGACCTCATTTTCTCATTACAAAATAAGACCCCTCAGCACTCTGAAATGCACACACAATAAGTTGAGAAGTGGGCATGTGCTTTGACTTTTCTGAAGAAACACTATGGAAAGCCCAAACACGAGCACCAATTTTAGCTGTGGTTTACTATCTTGTGGGTTCCTCAGCAAATGTGAGTCCCAGGTATGAGAAGGTAAGTTCCTTTTACCTTTCTACTATTTATCATATCTAGACCTGATTTCCCTATGATAGGTCCATTGTACAAGACAAAGAAAATTTTTGGATATGAGCTTAAGGATAATTGTAATGTTTTTGTTCTTGTTTTTCAAACTGTATAGAGAGGCAAGTAGTTGATCCATTTCCTATCATCTTTGAGGTCACAAGTGTAGTTTGATTCACTGTGTTGTGGAAAACAGGTCAGGTCAGTGGGGATGAGATCGGTAGCAAAGCCTTAGGTTGAGGAAAGGAGAGAACAGGTGCCCTAAGCAGTTGTCCTCCCTGCACTCTCTTACCCTTAGGAAGCTGAGGGCCAAGCAACTGGCTTGGAGGGAAGTCTAGCTGGTAGTAACAAAAAGAGAGTTAGGAAATGGTTCTCCTAGAGGGGAAATTATTAAATGGACTTTGGGGCAGAAGATTTTGAACTCCATTGGAGTGTATTCATTACCCTCCTTGCTATACTTTGCCATGAGCATAAACCCTTGAGAGATAACTAACAAGTCACATGATGTCTCAAATATGGCTTCTCCCATTTTGACCACTTCCTGCCCTGGAAAATCGAAGGCCAGTGGTTGTCAGAGACAGGGAGCAGGTCAGGAGTCTGCTCTGTATAACACTCATGCTGTAGCTGTTGTCCCTTCTCCACTCCCCCTAATGCATCTCTCTTTGCCTCAGCATTCACGGAGTCAATGAGAAGATCTCAATCCAAGCCTACGAGACGCAGGTGAAATTCATCTTTGAGTTCATCCAGAATGCTGACACATACAAGAAGCCAGTTCCTCACCTGCATGATCTGTGAGGTCGAGGAGCCAGCTAGGTTAGGGGTGCCCTACTCTGGGCCAGGACTACCCAATGGGAAAGCCAATGCTGGTAGAAGTTTGGGCCCAAACCACATTTTAATACATTGCTGACCTGCCTAGTTTACTCCTAAACTCATCCAAAAACAAGGCCCAGAGAAGGAAGACCAACGGAACTCTGGCTTCTTCCTGCCCACCATCTGCACCACCAACTGCCTGCACCTAATGCCTTCTTGTTCCTCCCCTGAGGAAGGTGTCATCTGTCTTCCACTAATTATTGAACTGTTCCACCTGTTTGAGCCTGACAACAAATGCCGAGTTTAAAATCCTCAACCAGATTTTTCCTGATAAAAGTGTTAATTTAGGGTGCTTCAGTGCCTTTTCAAGCCTTATATATTGCTTCTTGCTGGAACTTCCCCCTTCCTCTGCCCTCCTCTGTCCTCTCTTCTCTCCCATGGCCTTCACACTGAGCACTGAACTCATCCACTTTTATTTTTTATGTTGAGAAAGTTGCCCAGTTGGGACTTGAACTTACAACCCTTCTGCCTCAACCTCTCTCAGTGCCAGGATTACAGGCATACACCGCCAAACCTGGCTCAGCCTCACTCTTCTGGAACTCACAGGTGGCATCTTTATCTCTCATCACCTGCCCCTGCTTCCCTCTCCCTACCCTAAAAGTTATTCTACATCTGAAGCAGGACTTCCTGACACTGATGCTACTGTAATTGCCTCCACAGTTGGTCAGTAAAGGGATCTAAGCAGCACCAAGTGGTGAAGTGGAGGGGTGAGCCTGTGGCAGGGACCTTGGGCAATGCCGGACCTCCTCACTCTGAAGGCTGGGGCCTAGAAAAGAAAGCCTCTGTCTTTGGGCTTTTCCCAAGGGCTGCCTGGGCTTTGCTCCCTCCCCTGCCCTGTTCCTGCCACCTGCTGCCACTGTCCACCCCAGGAGGCCCTAATCTGTGGGAACATTTCCTGGCACATCCTATGGGCTGCATTCCCAAGGGAAGGACACTCGTGAGCCAGGCTCTGAGTGGAGCACAGGACTAGTAGAGCCCTGGGCCTGGCACTGTGTCTGGTTCAGGCCGGTCAAGGGGAGGTGGAGGGTACAAAGCAAGAGGGGGAGGCTGTGCCCTGGGATAGTGAGACACGGAGAGCTACAAGTAGCCTCCATCAGGGGACAGCAAGCCCCTGTCCTCTTGCTCTGGACTCCAGTCCTGAGCACACTTGACTGCCCAGTCGCTGCCAGGTGAGGGCATTGGAAACCAGCGTTGCTTTGACTCAAGGCCAGGAGTTGTGCTTTGTGGATTCCAAGGGAGTCAGGATCACAGAGGGAGACACAGGAGCCAGGACTTGAGAGGCTTCCTCTCTTCTCTTTACCAGGAAAGGCCCTGCCGTGCCCTCCTGGATTTGAGAGCAGTGGGGCTCCTTTGCCTTCTCCTCGTACAGCCCTGTCCCCTCACGCTTCCCGTTCCTCACCTCCCTCCCGTGGATGTGAGCTGTTTCTTGGAGCTCTGGCTTCCTTGTCGGTGGGAGAAACACAATGCAGGGATTATTCCAGCTTTTTTGCTACTCCTTCTGAGAGTCACATTCCTCCCCTCCACCTCCCTTTTTGGCCAGTTCAGGACTTATTCAGCCTTTGTTGGAGGGCAGACTGAAGCCCAGAAATAATCCTTCGCATTTGTGCAGAGCCCTTCAAGGCAGCTTCATTCACCTTATCTCAGCAGAACCCCTCAGAGCCCTGTGAGGAAGGAGCTGCTACCCCTTGCTGCCAGGGAGGACTTGATTCTCAGAGTGGCTACACCTCAGGCCGGGGGCAGTTTGTCCAAACTCACCGCCATTCCTTGGCCTAACTGACCGTGAAATCTAGCACCCACCAATCATCTTATTTAATCCTCATAACAACTGCTGTGGTTTGTGTCCCCCAGAGTTCACGTGTGGGAGACCTGATTCCCAGAGTTATGTGTCAGTGGTATTAAAAGGGTGGAAACTTAATCAGAGCGTGATCTTTACGGGTGGGGCCTTTGGAAGATGATCAGCTTTAGATAAGGTCACAGAGCAGAGCCCATGACTGACTTACTAGTGGCTTTCTAAGAATAGGGCTTGAGAAGATACGGTTTCTGTTTGTTCATTTTTGTTTTAGAGAGGGTCTCACTATGTAATTCAGGCTGGCGTTGAACTTCTGGAACTTCTGGTGTTCCTCCTGCCTCAGCCTCCCAAGTGCTGATGTGTTTGAAATACATAGTGAGAGCCTGCCTAAAACAAAACAAAACAAAACCTCCAGCAAATAAAGGCTTACACAAGGCCCCCCAACCCCCATCAAGAACTTAGCTCAACTTTCTTAACTTCCACCTCACCACCTAAGATAGGAAGGAAGACAAAATATTCATAAGCAAATAGAGTGGGAAAGAAAGGGAGTAAAGTTGGGCTGGGACCCCTTGACTTCAAGCCAGAGTTTCTAAAGATGTGGTCATACAGTATTCTTTTCTTCCAGGGGAGACAACAGGAGAGAAAGTTTCTATGAAAGTGCTGAGTTCATTAAGTATTGAAAACTTAAGTAAAATATATTTATAAAATTAAGCTATTTGTAATTCTAGTGTTCACTGTCCATAGAGCAGTCAATAAAGAGAATCAATATCATGTTTCACATATATCTGGACCTACAAACATAAAAATTTAAGAATAGTATATACTAATTCTACCGAATGTTCCTCTGCCATCATTTATTGTTGTGAATATGAGATGTGATCTAAAAATACAATGAATGTTTATTTTTTGTGTGACATTTTTAATGTTAAATAAAATAGACAATTTCATTACATAGAGAGTAAGTCCATCCACTTGTTGTTCATAAAATTTTAGAAATAATTTCTGTAAAATGTTTAGTATTTGATTTTGGAATTAATCCATGGTATCATGACTCCTACAGGTACTCTTAATTCTTTGTTTTAATTTAGAAAAATTTTAAAAATACAGAAAAGTACAATAAATAAGACAAGATACCCGCCAGGCATGGTGACGCACGCCTGTAATCCCAGCACTCAGGAAGATCGTTGCAAGCTCGAGACCAGCCTGGGCTACAAAGTGAGCGCAAGGCCATCCTGAACTGCAAAGCAAGACCCTGTCTCTAAAAGACAAAAAAAGAGGGGGCTGGGGATTTAGCTCAGCGGCAAAAGCGCCTGCCTGGCAAGCGCAAGGTCGTGAGTTCGGTTCCCGGTACCGGAGAAAAACCAAAAAAAAAAAAAAAAAAGAAAGAAAGAACAAAAGAAAAGACAAGATACCCATATACCACAATCCAAAATTAGTGTCTTCATACAATTACTCACAGTGTTTAAGAGAAATGAATATCTATATAAAAAGCTGAAGCACTTCCCTCCCCACCTCCTACACTCCTCCCTTCCCTTCTGCCCTCTTCCCAAGCCACCATCAAGAGTTTGGCCTGTATCCTTCCAATTGATTTACAAAACATTTACGTACATATATGTATCCATTAGCAATATAAAGTATTGAACTTCATCAAGAAAGCTTTTATAATTTGAATTTACAAAAAGTCATTGTACTATATGCATCATTCTGCAACTTTTTTCCCTCTCCACATTTTTTAGATATTTCCATTAACATGTGATTATTATCTATTACATTTTTATAGATATATGTATAGTATTCCATCATAAGAACTTTCCATTTTGTTCCAGATGGACACTGAAATTGTTTCCAATATCTGTCTACTATAAATCAAACCACAGAGGAGTTCCTGGTATTTCCTGAGCATACAAGTGAAACTAATACCTATTTTTGAATTTGTTACAAGGAAGTTTTCCCACTCCCAAGGTCATAAACATTTTTAGTACATAGGCTTTTCATAATTCTGTCTTCAGTCCCTGGGGGTTTTACTTTTCTTTATAATTCATGGTCCATGCTCCACCCTTGGAGAACAAATTACCTCCAAATAATGAATGCTTAATGCTATCTCTTAATATTCCAAATTCAAATAAACTCATAGGTGTCTTTCAGGGGTCTCTTCTGCTCTGCTGAGTCACCATCACAAAGGCTTATTATTTGTAGGTGATCATACATGTTTTTGTTTCTTTCTAACACAGTTTTTTTTCTTTTTGGGGGGAGGTACCGGGAATCGAACTCATAACCTCATGCTTGCCAGCCTTTTTTTTTTTTCTTATACTGGTGAACATCTCCAAATTTATTCTGAGTGCAGCAGAAACATGCCTCTATTTTATGTTCCCAATTTTAGGGAAATGCACCTAAAGTTACAGTGTTCCTTCTACTGTGTTTTTCGGTTGGTTGGTTTGGTTGGTTTTGTCTGTACACAGTCTTTTCATCAGACAAATGTCTTTTTCTTCAGTATGAACTGTTGATGGCCTCTAAGTTTTAGCATTTGTTAAAGTTCACCTCATTTGCAGTGCTTTGCTTCAAAATATTTCTCATGTACTGTGAGATGCAAATTCCTGGTGCATGTTTTCCCATTTTGAAGATAGTCACAGGTTTTTTAATGAGTATTTATTTTCTGGTGTCTAATGTGGGGGCACTTCTGGCTGAAAGCTGTCCCACATCCACTACACTGATAAGGCTTCTTCTCTGTGTGTATTCTCAAATGCACCGCTAGGTTCGAGAATGGGAGAAAGCTTTCCCACATTTGTTGTAAACATAGGGTCTTTCACCTGAATGGCTTCCCATGTGCACAGTGAGAGATGAACTCTGAAAGGTGACTTTTCCATATACATTTCATTCATAAAGTTTATCACTTGAATGAATCTTCAGATATGCAATAAGCGATGTTTGTTGAAGGAAGGCTTTTCCACATTCATTACATTTAGGGTTTTCTCCACTGTGAATGTCTTGCTGCTTTATGAGGTACTTCTGGCCAAAAACTGTTCCACATTCATTATATTTATTATGAATTTTCTCATGCTCAGTAAGATTTGATTTGCCACCTAAAGGTTTTTCCACACTACATAGGAAGGGTTTCTCTCCCATGTGAGTTCTCTAGTGTCTGATGACGTTTGACTTCTGAATGAAAGATTTCCCACAATCTTTGCACTCGAAAGGTTTTTCTGTAGTGTGAATTTTCTAATGGGTTAGGAGGTTTTCCTTCTGGCTACAGGATTTTCCACAATCATTACAGTCAAAAAGTTTCTCTCCAGTATGGGTACTCTAATGTTTAATGACATACTGCTTCTGTCTAAAGGGTTTCCCACATTCATTACATTCAAAAGATCTCTCTCTAGTGTGAAAATGGTCATGTTCGGTGAGATTGGAGTTGTGGCTGAAGATTTTCCCACATACCTTACAGGCAAAGGTGTTCTCCCCAGTACAATTTCTGTGCTGACTGAGATGTGACATCAAAATGGAAGCTCTCCACATTCACAAGATTTCTCTCCCATATAAATTTTCTGATGAATGAAAATTTACTTTTGGCTGAAGATATGTCCACATTTCTTACATTTAGAAAGCTTCTCTGTGTATGACCTTTCAAATGCAGAAAAAGGGATAAAATTTAAGAGACAATTTTATCGTATGCAGTACACTCACAGCTTTCTCTCCAGCATAAATTCTAATACTCAATGAAGGTATACTATATTCACTGGTTTCTCTCCAGCATGAATTTTCTGCTGCTCAATGAGCTCTGTCATCTAGGCATTGGCTTTTTATATTCCTTAGAAGCACAGAATTTTTCTTCAGCATGACTTCTCAGTTGAATGAGATGTATCATGTGAGTGAATGTTTACCACATTCAGTAAATTCATAGGGTTTTTCTCCAGTGGTGAATGCTCTGCTATCAGAGTACAAAAGCACTTCCACACAGATTTACAAAGGGATGCTACCACAAGGAGTAAGTGCTGGTAGAGGATTTCCAAACTAATAAAATTGATGATTCTTTTCTACACAGCTTCCCTCATAATTAACTCTGTCTTTTAAACTCGAAATTTCAAAAAGGCATTGGCTTAACAGAAATAAGGTCTGTGAGCAAAACAAGGGTTTTTCCAATTTTCTTATATTCACCGTTTTTTCTCCAGTCTCTTTATTGGAGATGGATGCAGCTTGCCTCCAAAGTCTTGGTGTCTCTCTTATCTGCTCACTATCGTCTCAGATTTCCTCTAGAGAGACTTTTTCCACTTCTTCCTCCCTCATCCAGTTTGTCTTCTTCAGTGGAAGATCATATCCAGTTTGGTCTCTTTAAAACCTGCTGTTGGGGAAAATGACACAGTGCTGGACTGTTAACGCTGTGACCAGACTACTGTACCATTCTAGAATTTAGGAGGAGCCCTAGAGCCCCTGAGCCTTTTGAATGATGAGGAAGGTATATTTCCCAGGGATCCACAAAGAAGCAGCCCTCCTACTTTTGACCATGTGGACCAAGTGGCCCTACTGACCCACAGACAGACTAAAATGTCACAGTGAATGTTTATATTTTTAATATATTAAAGTAAAAAACATGTTGCCATTAATCTCCCACAAAGTACCCCCCATACACATTGAACACACTTATCCTGTTGTTCTTACCACTTTCCGAAGCAGTTCTGGAAGTCCTCTTTCATGAGTGTCTTTAGTTGTGCTGTTGTGGCTGTCTCTGTGTCCTGAATGGATTTAAAACGTTTATTTTCATGGTCATTTTCACTTTAGGGAAAAGCCAGAAGTTGTATGGTGCCAGGTCCAGTGGATAAGGTGGATGTGGACACACTGTAATGTTTTTATAAGCCTCTCTTTCCACTGGGTGCCACTTGGCAGCTGCATTCACCGATTTGTTGCCATACTTCATAAGGGTATGGTGGTACACACCTATAATCCTAGCACTCAGGAGGCTGAGGCAGGAGGATTGCTTCTGAATTCAAGGCCAGCCTGAACTATATAAGGAGATTCTGTCTCAAAAAAACAAAGCAAAAAAAAAAAAAAAGACCCTTGGAGTGTGTTTGAAATGAGGATTAATGGTAACATGTGTTTTAACATTCACCATATATTTTGATCACCCCACCTGTTGTGTCACTGCTTGTTTTACACTGATTAATGAGTCCCTACAGAACCAGAAATCCAAACTCAAAGAGAAGTAAGAAAATGGACTCTCAGCACTACTGGTAAATAACACATCATGTAAGAATGTACTGCAGCCATGCTTTCAGAAAGGAAGGATTCAACAATTTAATTTTCTTTTCTCTTGGTTAGGCATTCACACAGCTCAGTTCTTGCCTGAACTCCAAAGCCATCTCTGTTTCCAAAGTTCATAGTGACAAAAACCAGCACATCTTTGAAGCATGCAGACATGGTCAATTCAAGGACACAAGGCATGCTTGTTTTCACAGCAGATATTTGAGAGTTGGAATGATGCAGAGAACGACTGGCAGACATTGGCATGGCCCCTGTGCAGGGAGGGCAGGAACATCTGTGAAGCGTGCTCTATTTTCAGTGTATACATATTTCCAAACATCATGGTGTGCACAGAAATACGTGCAATTTTAATTTACCCATTTAAATAAATAAGACATAGGGCAAGATGTAGAGAGATGTGTTTCCCGGGGGCATAAACTGAACGAGTCTCAGGACTGTGTGTTCAGAATAACCGGTTACTCTGTGTCAGCACTGAGTGCTGAATCCCAGGTGATAGACATCCCCATGTTTTTGACACATTTATTTCTGTGGTTAGAATGTATGCATCTTCTAAAGGAAAGAGCCCAAGGCAGTGGCTCTCTTGCCCAGGTCTAAGATGAGTTCTTCTTTTGTACACCTCAGCTCACCAAGGCCGCATGGTAAAGAGCTCAGGATTTAAGTTGACACTTCTAAGTTGAATAAGAGTTAATTAGGCAAAGAGCTGA